AAAAGAAAAAACCGCCAGTAAGCAACCTAACTGAAGCGATGTACTAGTTGCTGGGAAGATATAGCCCTAGTGACAATTAATGCCGTAACGTCAAAAGGATCAGCGCGACGCTAATGCTTCTATTCCTCCATTTTAGATTGAAAATGTGAATATTTGGTGTATATAGTGCCTATATCCTGAAGAAAGCTCCTCTATTAGAAATCAAATACCGCTAAAATCTACCTGTCTCCATCCTCGAGAGTGACTACTTGTCATGATCTCGCTGTATGATGTATTAATCTAAATTATATAGGCAAGCACATTATTTGATACTGAAACTTGACAGATCCGAGCTCTGAGAGAAATATTCACAATTGCGGAACAGGAGAAAGTCATACCGTTTGACTAAAAGGATCAACTTGACAAGTAAATGATGTGTATTGGCATTTACCTTTAGCTGGGAGACGACGCGCCATTATGGACCGGAGGCGCCTATGCGCAAGTATCGTACCGCTCCATCGGAAACATATAAAGCTTGACCTTAAACCACACAGTTCCCCATTCTATTCCCAACCTCTGCAGCAAATGAGGTCAGTCTAGTATCCGGTGTTGATGATTCTCAGCCTGATCCTGCTCAAGTTTATTTGTTTTCGGAGGTGACTTACAAAGCTCTTGACAATCGCCCCTTTACTAATCTTTCTCGTTAGACATAATCGTCGAATTGGCTGTCAAGGATAATTGCTTTCTTGCAGACATTGACCAACTCCTATTGGAACTTCATCTCAACGGTGAAGTAGTAGACAAGGTTAATTTGGTCTCTCGCGGATCCGAACCCGGAGTGTGGGACGCTGATGAGAAGCTGATTCTGTGAGTGTCTTCAATGTATGGATTCAGAGAGAAAGTACTGAATATGTATAATGAGGTATGAAGCATCTGCAGACTTCACACTATCCGTCTCGTTGAATCTCGGTGAGAATGACCACTTAGTCATTGGATCTTTGGAGCTCGGTGGACCCGACCTTTACGATGTACTTGGAAAACCATCTGGTAAGCATCGAATCTTGTTTATATCAGTCTCTCAGACAGTTATCTTCGATAGAAATTCCTCTGATGGCTCACGAGGGCTACCCTAATTTGATTCTCATGACGAAAGTCTCAGCGGTGACAATGAATGATATCCAGCAACCCACTTCGAGCTCCACACATGGAAATGGAAGATCACATGAGCAAGACTCAATCAAGAGGCTAAATGACGAGGCTCTCGACGCAATGAAATATTTCGAGCGTACAGATGATTTGAACAGTTTGAATCAAGCGATTTTAAAGCTACAAGCGGCCACGGAAGCAACTTCCGAGGAAGATCCAAAACGAGTCGATGTAATCACCCACTTCGCGATGGCCCTACAGCACCGCTTCGAGCGCCTAGGCAATCGAGATGACATCAATAATGCGGTCGCTCATTACCATCTTGCGGCGAATACTGTACCAGATGGTGGTAGTGACAAGCCTAGAATTTTGAGTAACCTTGGGTATTGTCTTCTGACCCGTTATAAAGGACTCGGAGATCCTGATGATCTCAATAATTCAATCGAGCATCTACAGACAGCCTTTGGTCTCATACATGATGATTGGCTCACTTTGAAGGGCACATGCATGACAAATTTGGGAATTTCTCTCAGGACTCGATTCGAGTATCTTGGGAATATCGCTGATATCGATGACTCTATCAGATTCCAGCAGGGCTCCATTGATCTTACAACTGACAATGACGAAAAAGCTACCCGCCTGAATAATCTCGCAAATGCATATGTGTCGCGCTTCATGCGCTTTCAAAACCTCGCAGACATTGACACTGCAATTTCACGTCACCAAGAGGCAATTCATCTTAGATCAGATGACCACCCTCGCAAAGCTGGTCATCTCAACAACCTTGGGAGCGCCTATCTCACGCGCTTTGGACGGTCAGATGACCGCGCTGATCTCAGCCACGCGATTGAATATATCCAAAAGGCAGTAGACCTTACACCAAATGGGCACCCCATCAAGCCTATCACTTTAGACCACCTCGGAAGCTGTCTCCTTAGGCGATTTAAGATATTCGGAAACCAATCCGATATCGATAGATCTATTGCACAATTTGAGGCGGCACTGGCGCTCACTCCGGAAGGCCACCCAAACAAACCAGATTATCTCAATAATATCAGCGACTCCCTTTTAACTCGGTTTGAGCTGTCGAGTGACCTCATTGACATCGACAAATCGATCATTGAAGTTCAAGCTGCTGTAAATCTTATCCCGGATGGCCACCCACGTAAAGGTTCATCCCTGAGCCGTCTTGCTACTTCCCTTATGGAGCGTTTTCATCGTACTGGAGATATTGTCGACATGGAGAATGCATTAGTATACAACCAAAAATCACTGTCCCTTATACCGGAAGATCACCCTGACAGGCCATCGCGTTTGAGTACCCGAGGGAACTTTCTTATAGCCCGCTATGAGCGCCTTGGGACCGTTGCAGATATCAATGATGCTGTAACTCATCAGGTGCTAGCCCTAAACCTTACACCAAGCGGTCATCCTGAGGAAGCCTCGCGGTTGACGAACCTTGCGCACGCTCTCATGGCTCGATTTCAGCGCTTCGGAGACATTGCTGACATCGACGAAGCAGTGTCAAAGTACCAACTTGCAATAGCTCTCACCCACAGTGACCACCAACTCGGATATCCACGGTTGAGCAACCTCGGAAGCGCGCTTCAAGCACGATTCAGACGCCTGGGGAACCTTGCGGACATCAATAAAGCGATTGAAAATCTACAAGCCGCAGTCGATCTCGTCCCAATTAACCACCCGGACAAGCCTGGATATTTAACCAACCTCGGAAATTCCTTTTCAATCCGTTTCGAACGTCTCCAAGATCCTAAAGATCTTGATAAGGGCATAATTCAGCACCGAGGTGCTATTGATCTCGCATCGGACAGTGACCCCAGAAAGGCTCTTTATCTCAGTAATATTGGTGCTTCTCTGATGAGGCGCTTCGACTTTCTCGGAGATCCTACCGATATCGACAATGCGATCGAAGCACTACGGCGCTCCATCAATCTCACACCAGATCAGCACCTTGACAAAGCCTCTCGGTTGACCGATCTGGGAACCCATCTTTGTATTCGCTTCCAAATATCGTGGAATCCTGTCGATATAGATGAGGCTATTATGCACCAATATACGGCTGTCAGCATGATACCAGATGGCCTTCCCGACAAGACGCGGCAGCTCAGTTGCCTCGCAACCTCTCTGATGGTCCGCTCCACGAAGCAAATGAGCTATCAGGATGCTGAAGCGGCTGTTAAATACTTTTCTGCTGCCGCGAAAGCAACTGCTGGACCTCCAACAGCCAAGCAGTGGGCTGATCTTGCACTTCTTGTCAACCCTTCATCAATTTTTGATGTTTATGATTATCTCCTCAGTCTAATGCCACTGGTGGCTTGGCTGGGTCTACCAATCGCAGATCGACACCGACATCTAACCGAAATGAGTGAGATCGCTCGAGAAGCCGCGTCCATGGCCATTTCACTCGAAAAATATGACAAAGCTTTGGAATGGTTAGAGCAAGGTCGATCCGTCGTTTGGAATCAAATCCTTCGATTACGGACTCCAGTCGATCGATTACGCGAGGTGGATCCAGAATTGACGGACAGACTTCTTCACGTCTCTCGTCTCCTGCTTCAAGGAACTGAAATAGGTCGTTCCTCGGATGATATGAATTCTCAGCTCAATGAAGAGGAAGGTCGTAGGCATCGAGCATTGACAACAGAATGGGAGGGAATTATTGAGCAAGCCCGGTGCCTTCCCGGTTTTGAGGACTTCATGCGTCCTCTCAAAATGTCTCGCCTCTTGACCGCTGCTCAAGATGGACCTGTGGTCGTCCTGAATATTGCGAAATATCGCTGTGATGCCCTCGCTCTACTTCCTGGATTAGACGAGGTGATACATATACCGCTTCCCAATGTCACAGCAAAAGGAATGATGGGACTTCGAGATACTTTAAAAGAGACACTTTCAACGAGTGGTATTCGACTACGGACCGAAAGAGCAGCGAAGAAACATAATGATGAGAATGACGACGAAATATGCAAGCAGATTCTTGCCGAGCTTTGGACTAATTTATTAAAGCCTATTTTAGATTCCTTGGCCTTCAGTGTGGGTATATTTAAAACGTGTTCACCCACATCCGCTGATCTTTCCTATTTAGCCTCATCCCGACACGCTGCCTCATATATGGTGGTGTCCTACCGGACCACTCTCCTTCCTTCCAATACATGCCGCTGGTATTTATGGTTCTGGTGCAAATTTGGATGCCCAGCTTGCGGATTATGCTATTTCATCTTATACACCATCCTTGTCCGCATTGCTCGATCCACCTGATATAGCTCCATCATCGAATTTCCAACTATTGACGGTAATAGAGCCATCAGCTCCGGGAGCTTCCTATATCCCTAATACTGAAAAGGAACTAGAGAATATTCGGCACCATTTTGAGGATCAAGACATCGTCGTTTTCGCGGCTTCAGAAGCGACAAAGAAAGAGGTCATGAAGGAAATGAAGAATTGTCACTGGCTCCACCTTGCGTGTCATGGCATTCAGAACCCAATAGATCCTACCAAAAGCGCTCTTCTTCTCCGTGACGGCCATTTGACTCTTGAGGATATCACCCGACTTGATCTTCCTCATGCAGAGTTTGCTTTTCTTTCTGCTTGTCAGACCACGACAGGAGATGAAAAACTTTCTGAAGAAGCGGTGCATATTGCTGGAGGGATGTTATTGGCCGGATACCGAAGCGTTGTGGCAACAATGTGGTCTATTCGGGATGAACTCGCACCAGAGGTGGCAGAAGAGTTTTATGCACATATACGGAAGGATAGTGGGCGGCCTGATGTCAAAAAAGCGGCAGAGGCCCTGCATATTTCCGTGAACAAGCTTCGTGAGAAGCACAAGTTACCGCTTGTGGCTTGGGTGCCG